AATTTTTTTTAGGTTTTATATATACATTTGAATAACCAAAAAATCATAAATTACTATGTTGATATGATAGAATTCCATTATAATTTATCAAGTTTAGTAACTAAGCTGTATTTCGGTCTAAAAAAAATAAGAAATTTCGAGCAGATTAAAGACATAACCTACCTCCTTGAAATCTTGTTTCAAAAGAATGAGATGGCATCCTAACACATGAAAATGGTTGAGAAAGCCACTAGGGGACAATCTGAGCTTTCAATTGGTTATTCAAATGTCATATACACAAGTAAGTGTATATAAAAGGACTGTTTCCAAAAATGGAAAGAGGTGAGCGGGGCCACTGTGTTTGATTCAGTACATGAGCAATATCTCAGCAAATAGAAAAGATAGGAGGTTCTTATTTTATATTCTAGGTTGTTAATATCAATAGTTTGAGTTCCTAATTTGTACGAAACTATCGACTTTTTATTTTGACATCACAAACATCTAATCTGAACCAGTGCTTCATTCAACATACCACATTTCTTTAATATTTACTTTTAAATTAGAAATTGGATAATGTATAATACTAAAATTATAATTATAATCTACAGTTTGATACCAAACATATTGACATAAATTCATAAAATAGTAGTTCAATACAATTTTGAATGCAAATCAACAAACACAATGACATGGCCTTTGATCCGTGACCTGTAACAATAGGGTTAAGTAGATTAATAACTTTCATTACTGCTTACTTGAACTGAGTTGTTAAATTGAAATCAGTTTGACACTGTTTATCAGCACTAATTAATCCAAATTTTATTATTTCATTCAAGACTTATGATTTAATGGCCTAAGAATCCATTTTTTTTCATTGGTTTAATTTTTTAAATTTGTTTTTCAATGTATTAAGTAGTTAATTCTTGAAGTAGTTGAGGATCAACTATTAACTTCTTGATGTTGTAGGATATATCATTTTTCACTACTCATTTACGTTTTTATTGGCATATTTTGAATTGGGATAAGTTTTCCTTGTTTTTTTTTTATAATTTTATTATAGTATTTATGAATATTATACTGTTATTAGGTGAACACTATTTGTTTATCCCCTTCTAGTTGTTGAACACAAGACAACATTACAGTGTTTATAAATAATAGTAATCCTTAAAATGTACATTTTCCCAAAGTTCAGTTATTTATTTGCTTCTATTCTCAGTCTTACTAAATTTAATACAAATTGTATTATTTTAGATCATAATCTACTACAGTATTTAACTGGAACTTGTAGTAATTGTAAGTGGTTTCCATTATATTTTGTAGTATTGCATTAGGTGGTTTTAATGTAGATAATTGTGTTTTACTTTCCTAGTTTGCCAACTCCTGCATTGGATTTGTTTGACCAGATGCTAGAGTTAGACCCAGAAAAAAGAATTACTGCAGAAAATGCCATAAAATGTGCTTGGCTTAAAGACGTTCGTCCAGAATTGATGCCACCTCCAGAGTTAGTATTACAGTTTTTATCTATACACATCCAGTCAGGGCTTCATCTTTTTTCTTTTTTTTACCTTATGACTTTGAACCTGTACTTTTAATAGAAGATGATAAAATGACCCACATCTTTATTAATATCCAGAATATGTTTTGATGTATGATGAGAAAGTTCTTTGTTCTTGGTCTTGTAAAAGATCAGTTCTTACCTGTGACTTCATGAAACTGAGATCCAGAGACTACTGTTCTTATGTGATCTAAATTGTTTAGGCTGTTGTGACATAAAGTTAGGATTTTAATCTATTAAAATTTATCACATGCTGTTATATTACTAAAAAGTCTTAGTAAATATTTTTTTATCTACTTTTCTCCTATACATAAGATCTTTAAAGCATGGAATGAACTTTGTGCCTTTAAAGTGTACTAATTGTATCTTTGTGGCTTCCAGTAGTAAATGAATCTTAGTACGAAAAAGTAAAAACAAATTAATCTAAGTTAATTTGAAATGAGCTTTTTACTGGTTGTAGTTTAATCTGGTAGGATTTTTCATACTAAGCATTAATAAATGCATTACAACTTCATTGCAACCACAGGGTTCATGATTTCTCTCCCTTCGTGCAGTTTGTATTTTTTTATGGCACAACTTGGCACATTTTCATTAATTAATTGTGTTCCACCCACAGAGAGATTTTATAGGCACATCAACCTTTTGACAGTAGCCATTGGCTGAAGCTTTGGTAGGCAAAATTTCACAGCAAAATAACAAAACTTTCTGCTTTTAGATCTACCTATTTGGCAAAATATAAAGAGCAAAATTTCAAATTACATCTAAAGTTTTCTTATTATGAATGTATGTTGATTTAATTGTTTTCACACTATTTAAATAAATGATAGATTTAGAATTCTTTAAACTTTTTATGCACATGTGTGTGTGTGTGTGTGTGTGTATGTATAGAAGAAATAAAACTTTACTTAGATAATACAAAAAAAAATATCATGACACTTGTAAGTAAATAAATTGTATTTTTTTAACACAGAGAGATAAGAATTAAACTGTTGTGTTTGGAACCACAAGAAATACTGGGAAAGAGTTTCAGTATGATGTTTATTTACAGTTGAACCTAAATTGTATGGGATGTGGCAAAAGCATTATAGAAACATTTTTTTCTTTGCTACTTTATCAATCAAAATTTGTATTTTTACCAATCATTATAGTGTAGTTGTTAAAGTACTAAATACTTAACAAGTGTGTGGTATCAAAACCAGTTTTGCCAAACTTTGTGTACTTTGGGTTACATTATGTTTTTGAATTATGCTTGAAAAGTTTTTAGGGAAAAAATGCTTTCTCGTATTTTAGAAAAAATATTATTTTTTGTTTGTCTTGAAATTGTCAGTTTTTTGCTTTCTTGTTGAATAGACATTAGGCACTTATTATTTGAACTGACTTAGAGACAAGTTTGTTTAATAGTTAGTCATGTGGGTTAAGGAAAAAACTATCAGAAAATTTTCATTGAATATTAACTCTTTTTGTTATCTATATGATATTTCTTAATAGGCATTGCCAGGTAAGACTTGTATTTCATTGGTCATACATGATTTATATTTAAAATTTTAAATGATGCAATAAGCCATAGCTTACTCTCACAGCAAGTGTTTAGAACAAAAACAGTCTGGCCTTGTTAATTTAGACTAATTCACATGCTCCTAATTTCATTTTCATTTTCTTATAAGTACTGTTTTGTATTCAATAGTTTACCACACTGGCAAGATTGTCATGAAATGTGGTCTAAGAAACGCAGACGTCAACTTCGTATGGAACAGGACACAAGTGCTTCAACAGGACAGACTCTTGGCATTGTACCTGGTCAACAACAGCTTTCTGGTGGATCTGGTGGTTCTGGCAGTGCTAGTGGAAGTATAAGCACTATATTGCCAGAATCTCAGAATATTTCTCTCAGCAGCAGTGTTCCACAAACTCAAGGCAGTAAATTAACACAGTCTTCTGAAAGTTCAGTTGAAGTCAAAGGTTCCCAAAATCGTGTTGATGTTCCAGTGCAGCATACAGAAAGTGATACACTAGCAACTGCTGTTGTACAACATGACATTCAAGCAGTATCTGAAAGATTGTCAAACCCAGATGTCACTCATTCTGTAGATAAAAGTTTAACTCCAGGGAGTGGTGTTTTCTCACACTTTAGACACACTCCATCTCAGCGGGAGTCTCCAGTTTTCACAACTAAAGGATGTGGAGACTCTCTAGAGAATCGTTTTGGGCAAGAAAATTCTGCAGTTCAAAGTAGTGGAGATAGTCATGGTTTACAATCATTGTTTGCTGATCAAGAATCATTATTGAACATTTCTATGGGCTTGAATATGGTTCTTGGTGTTAATAAAACTAGTTCAGATATGTATCTAGGAAAACGTAGTCAGACTGTGAGTTCCAGACTCGAAGCTGGGCAGTTTAATGAAACAAATCAGTTTACAGGAGAACAAAGGACACATGGAAATGTCAGGCAGAGTTCACCACAGTTTACTAGAATATCTAGTAGTTTATCCAGAAGTACCTCCATATCAGAAGATCTTAATCAGTCATTATGGTCCAGTTCAGAAGACAAAACACCAGGACTTGGAAGTGAAGTAAAAAGTAGGCATTTTACCTTTACAGGTATTTTATTTAGCCCTCACAACAAGGGTTGAAAATATTTGACATATTGTTCAAATAACCATCTTTTCCTAGCTGTAATTCTTGACTGAAATTTTTTTCAGTCTGTCAATTCTTTACTAATATCACATTCACTAATAATGTTACAACTCAAAATTTCTTTACTATGACTTAATTAGACTAGCATGTTTTAACATCATATCAATCAAAAATAGTTTAACTAAAGAAGATATTTTTGAAAGAAATTAAAATTCTAATACAGTTCCCTACTTTTTGTGTGTGATTAATAAGTAAAAACGTGTAATATGTTAATTATACTGAGAAAATGTAGGATCAAAAACATCTGAATTTGTCCACAAAGATGCAAAGTTTACCCTGCAAAAGTACTTGTATTCTTGAGTTACTTTATGACATTATAAAAGTATGAATGTGTATACCTATATATTGCACACAAATACATACACTGTTGAAAGCAATTTAGTTAAATAGTATGCTGTATGTCATTTACTTGTTTAATTTATATTTAATTCTACCAAGGTGTAATACATTGAACTTAAACAGGCTGGTTTATATGATTTAACTATTTAAATCTATTTTGAAAAAATAATCTCAAAATAAATTTAGGGTTTGATATTTAAAAGTATCCACAGCACTCATCATCTTATTGCTCTTGCCTCTGTTGCAGTTGGTGTAATCAGAGAATGTGCACTTAAGAAAGTTTGTTAAAAGTTATTATCGCTGCCAGAACAATTATGGGAATGTATAAATCAGTTTTGTGCTAGGATTTCTCATGTGGTGCCAAGTATAACTCAAACAAATTAATAAAACTTTTTTTTTTGCCTTTGTGAACTTCACTGTTATTTCTAAAAGTAATCTTTGATAAATGAAACTACATCATATTATAAACGTGTGTCAGAGTGAATTACTTTGACTTTTACTTTGGGAATATTAAAGTTTCTATCTATACTTTTTGTTCCTATTGGTTCTGGCTGCTTGGTTCCATACTTGTTTAATGTTAATGAACTTAGTAATAACTTTATCAATAGGCTCTTCTACATTTGTTGTTGTACACATTGACATAATTAGTTATGGAATGTTGCATATTAAAAGAGTCACAGGTATTTTACCTGCAACATAGTGTACATTTGTCTTCGTCTGCAACATTCTAAAGTTGTGAAAATTGGTAGTTGTTTCAAAATACAAGATTTTGGTTTTCATTATTTTTATTTCATTAAATAATTTTTGGATGTGAAATCCATGAAACCATATATATATTTTAATTATTTCATGTTTTACCTTCAAAATTTCACAGTTTCGATTAACTTGCATATTTTATTGCAATTAGAAAATTATTTCTGAATAAAAGTATTATTAGTATACATTTAAATTTTTTAATCTCAGCATAAACATCTAATGTTATAAAGTTCATGCTAAATGTTAACAATAAAAAATTTCAAAACTATATTGTATATTCTTTAATACATGTAGGTTAACAGATTGACATAAGTGTCGGTGGTTACACAATCATCATATCCACATGAGAGTGGAAATTTTTTTAGTTAAAAAAAAGTTGTTTCTTACTATTTTCCCTGATTTTGTAAAGTAGTGCTACTGGAACATTTACTTTTTAGGCTTAAACTGTATTAGAACATGCTTTTTTGTGACTTAGTGAAAAGATAAACCTGAGGAATAATGATGATAAAAATAATTTCTTTTTATTCATTCAATATTTGTTTCTGTGTAGTACATTAATTATACTAACTCTTAAAACTTATCTTCAAAAATTCCCCTGCTTTCCTATTAAATAATTATTTGACTTCTTTTAAGCACCATATTTTAGTTCCTTTATCCATTAACTGGTCAAGGTTTGGACACAACTGGAGTATGTGAGTCATCAATGTACAGCAGAATGCCTCCTTGTGTATCAAAACATTACTCATCCGTTAGTATACTTTAAATCTTTACAAGACATTTTGCTAAACAAATGTTCCATGAGAAGTACTGAACCCATTTTATGAACGTTGCCAAGCAATTGTTAGAACAAGTGCTAAACTTGTTAAGGTTCTGTCTTTTCTTCCAATCACCTAGAAAACATGTATAAAAGTATTTGAACATATTATAAATGATAGAGAAAAGAATGATAAAGTAACCATGTTGAACTATGTCTAAAATCAAACTTGCTGAGCAGTAACATCCATCAAACCATTTCTAGTTTGGAGTAAAAGAGAAACTTTTCTCAAAATCATTCCCTGTCCAGTTTGTTTTGAAATATATTACAGAATCAGCGAAGCATGTGTATTAATATTAATAATGAATGAAGTCAGAAAATTGAAGTTTTCAAATTATTTGACTAGTATGAATGTGTTCAGAGTTGTGGGATGTATGGCAAGAGATCAGGTAACCTAACAAGAATGTTGACCAGGTTAGATATAGGATTGAAAAATAGACAGTCTAGCATTGGTGAGCTAATGCAAGTTAGGGTATGGGTGTTTTTTCAAACCTAGGATATAGATTTACCTTGAAGTTATTTATATTATTAGCAATATCCTGTATGGCTTTATTTTGTTTTATCAATATCGTTATTTTTCTTTCACAGATATTGAACTCATTTACTTGCTTTTCCAGTTTCTTTAACAAAAATATAACATCATTAAAAGTAGTCATTATACAAGTCAATTGTGTGTTACAATGAAATTCTCTTTTCTGAGCTACTAAATATCTTAAATTAAATCAAATAAAGAGTATTTTTAACAGATGTTAACAGCATTCTTTTGAATATAAATAAGCATTTATCTATTGCTTTATATCATACACAGTTTTCATAGTATCGCAGTAGAATTGAAAAATGAAAAGAAAGATAATGCTAAACTTAATTCACCTAATAATCCTCATTAAAAATGGAAAACACTTCAAGTATGAGATAAGACATTTGCTGTTAATTTAAGAAATTGCTATTCTACCCCACTGTAAATACTTTTTACTGTATTTTAGTTGCGTAATATAATTTAAGTGTAGAATTTTTTTTAAAGTTTTCCTCATACTTTTATTTTGATAATTTGAATACTTTTAGACTATTTTGGCTACATTGGTTTCAACAATTTTTATATTTTGAGTTCAAGTCATTTCAACTGTATAAGCAATAAAATTATGCTAATTAGAATGTTTAGGCAAAATTTTATTTCCATTGCTTGCTAAATTGTCTGTTTGTACTTATAAATTATATGTGATTTTAATTTTTCTTAGAGTAGTTGAACTTTTTGGAGTCTGGTCAAATATTATTCTTTATTATTTCCAATTTTAGTATTTCCTTAATTACAGTTTTTTTGGGTAGCCAATCTATTGTAATTTTGTCATTTTCCAGCTGTTACTTTTTCTTTTTTTTTTGTTACCCAAACAGCCAGAATATCTACATTCAGATGTAATTGACAGTTATGATATTCATGAGTAATTATAGTATTTTGGCACTTGTGTATAAAGTTAAAATCATAAATAATATTCAATGTTAAACTGGTACACAATTAAAAACATTTTATTTAGGCCTATCTATGGCCTTCAAAAAGTTGACGATTCTACATGTTTCAACGTTACAACATTCTTAATGTTATAATTTCCAAACAGTGATTTAAGTTTAAATGTATATATATCAAATTGTTTCATGAACTTTAGGTCTAAAATAAACCTGAACAAAATTCTTTATATAGCAGCTGAAAGAACATCTACCAAAACTAGTCCAAACATTGAGAAGGGATTGCTAGGACAAGTCTATAGTGCTACTCTAGGAGAGGCAAGCCAAATGAAAGCAAGTCAACTGCAAAATGTTTTAAATCTTCTTGTAGCTACAATTCAGAAACAAGGTGCCAGTGGTATTACGAGTGAACAATTAGCTGCTCTTTCAAGTCTTCAGGTAGCATTTTTATATACATTTTGGTATTACTTAATTATCTCACTAAAGAAATTTGTAGTGTTAATGAAAGTAATGTATAAGAATACTCTGATTTATGCTTTTTAGGAAGCAAAATTATAGCTAAACTAAACATGTATTTTGTGTGTGTGAAAAGAGTGGATATGTGTATGTTTATGGAGAAAAAACATTTTCAGTGATAAATCAAAATGTAATACTTTTACTGTTCCTGTCTTTATTATCGGTAGTTGAAATACTTATTTATTAGTGGCTGATTCAGCTACTGCTTAATACGTTTCATGGTAATACAGAAACATACTTGCTTAATGTGGTATTCTTTAATTAAAAGTGTAATTTTGTTATCTAGCATAAAGTTTTTCAGTAATATATTAAGGTAGGCCTGATGATACCTATGCAACATGACTTTCTTGTGAATGTGAAAACAATACTTGAGATTTCAAAATGTATCCTTTTGTAGCTAATAATTTTATAGTATTCTTAGACAAAAGAAAACCAGTATGTTCAAACTTTATTTTACAATATTAATTTATTTTTTCTACAGTTTTATTTTGAATATGTATTTGACAGTGGGAGCTTGTGTCGGGACAAATAGTGTTGTTACCACTATTACAATATGATAACAAACGTCATTTCTTTATATAAGACTTTACCATACCCACAGCCATAAAAGGTCCATTAGGTGATAGTCTTCACTACTAACCTAGTTAGACTTCAGTTTTCATCAGGGCATAGTGAGGGTGTCTTAATGTTAGTTTGTATATTTTCATATCACAGTTCATCTCGCTGAAATGTAATAAAACCAGAGTGCTAAATTTAACTGAAAACTGAATAGCCGTAAACTGTGTTGGAATGAAACAAATATAAAGAGGTGTGTGTATCTAAGAACTGCACTAATCCATTTTCTTGCTTCTGAAGCTTCATTAAGTGAGAACATGAACTGTCAACTTAGCTGACGTTGCTGATCGTGATAAGGATTTCGTTAGTTACGTAATTTGAACTTCATATATCTTCATATCACAACACTTGTGTTAGTAAATAAAAAATATTATGTTTACATTCTGATTGAATTTTATATTTATTTAAATATTTTAGTTGCTATAATTAGCATATTAATTGATTTTGAAAAGAGACAAGCTTGTTAAAAATGTAATAACCATCATCACATGAATTTTCCTTCTCATCAGTGTAAAACCCTTTTAGGCACGAATCTTTAAGACAAATTTTGGTGCTACTGTGGTCTACAAAGATATAGACTGTGGTCTACAAAGATATAGTGTGTGCTCTACACAGATAGTATCATCATCACTGTTTTAACTTTTGTTTATTTGCAATTGGCACCATTTATTATAAATAATGCTTCTAAATTTAATAAAGTACAAAATACAATTACATGATGTTTTTGGGGCAAATATAATCAGAATGAAATAAATTCCAACAATCAGAACTATCACAGTTATAACCTAAATTTAAGGTACTCTTTTTGGAACACACAACTTATCAAATTATTATTATTTGCTGAACAAAAACGTGGATAGATATGAATTATTTAGCAAGAAATTATGTTTTAGTGAATCATTAAAACGGTGATGATGATGATAGTATCTGTGTAGACCGCACTCTACAGTGTGACTATCTTTGTAGACTGCACACTATAGCAGCAACCAAATTTTTAAGACAAATAATACATCAGTAAATTAATTTCATCAACAGTTATCCTAAACATTTTTAACAGTTTCTTTTGTTTTGCATGTGTTCAGATACATGAAATATATATCTTGATTTCTCAATCAAATACTACTTAAATGTTTCAGTTCTTTTTATCAGTCTTTACTTTAAAAATTTAAAATCTGGTTTTAGTCAATTAGTATGAATATTTTTGATTTGTCCAGCTAGTTTTTGCTGTAATATTTAATAAACTGTAAAAGTGTGCTACTTCTTTTTAAACCACTGTAATTGTTGATTTTTGGTTCTTAAATATAACCTAATTTCTGGCATTGTGAAATAACATTTGTGTTGTGTTATTTACTTTTAATCCTACATAACCTGTTTTGGAAAATTATGATGTAAAATATTGTTAATTAAACATGTTTTAACATACTGAGAAAAGTTGGTTATATTTATCTTCACTGTGGCCTAACCTCCAAAACTTGGGATTTGGTTAGTGTTTGGCACTTCAAATTGATAATTTTTTTGTTTCGTTTATCATTTTCATTTATATTTCAAGAATTGATTCCTTTGTAAACAACTGTAACTTTGATACAAAGAATATTCTTAACTTTATTCATATGGGAATTGTACAATGAAAAATATATGTTGTGTATTTAATGTTGTTTATGGTCTTTACCAAGGTGGCATTATTCTGGGGGTGTCTTTTGGAAAGTTGAATAAATAAACAAAATTAGCTTGCACTTAAACAGCTCTTAAATAAGCTGCTAAGCAGTCTTTCATGTGTTAGTCATCTTTAAATGATATTTAAAGTTTAGTTCTATTAATTGGTAATATATTGTATTCACAACTAGTAATCATGGAAGGTGTATTTTGACTCTATTGTTTTGGTTATTCTTTGGTATTTGTGAAATGAAAGATTGTCACACAGCAAGAAAAGAAACTTACAGCTGGACTTATATATGACTGAAAGAATAGAAACTTTATAATTTGATATTCTGGTGGATTTTTGTTTAAGGATAATTGCTAATTAATTTGTCAGTATTACTAAAAATCAGTTTGATATAAGAAGAAATATCAGTACATTAAATGTGATTGAAGGAGTGATAAGTTACTGTCAGCTACAAATATGGCAAAAACTGTTCTACCAAGATAGTTTCATTCAATAGTTCCAATGTATGGAGCAGTGACTTCCAACAGTTTCTTAATATATATCTTTTACTTGGCTATCACAGTAGAATGTATGATTTCAGAAATATTAGGAAATTATTAGTTTTACACAATTATTTTATTTCAGTATTTAAAGCTTAGCACAAATGATTAAGTTTTTAAATTGCACTTTTGATATACATAGTGGATTTCAGTCATAACTTAAATCTTCTAAGCTAGCCAAATGTCTGAAGATGCTGTTTGAATTATAGATGTTTTTAACTCCAATAGTATATCAAGAGAATTCATAGTATGAACAGAATTTAATGGTAATTTCAAATATTAATGATTGCTTTGAATGTGATGAATGGTTTTTGAGCCACTGAGACTGCCAAGGCAC